TTTGAGGAAATTTGGGGAAATTTGGGGGAAATTTGGGGAAATTTGGGGGGATTTTGGGGAGATTTGGGGAAATTCGGGGGGATTTGGGGGATTTTGGGGAATTCGGGGAAGTTTGGGGGATTTTGGTATTTTTTGGGGGGATTTTGGGGGATTTGGGGATTTTTTTGGGGATTTGGGGGGGATTTGGGGAAGTTTAGGGGAAATTTGGGGAGTTTTGGGGGGATTTGGGGAATTTGGGGAAGTTTGGGGAAAATTTGGCGGATTTTGGGGAATTCGGGGTAAGTTTGGGGGATTTGGGGATTTTTTGGGGGGAATTTGGGGGATTTTGGGAGGATTTGGGGGATTTTGGGGAATTCAGGGGAAATCTGGGGATTTTTGGGGAAGTTTTGGAGCTTTTTGGGATTTTTGGGATTTTTTTGGGGGGAATTTGGGGGAATTTCAGATTTTTTGGGGGGATTTGGAGAGGATCGGGGTCTATTGGAGGGAATGTGGGGTTTGGGGGAATTTTGGGGGATTTTGGTTTTTTTTCAGTGTTTTTGGCCCAATTTCGGGTGGTTTTGCAGCAATTTTGGGAGTTTTTGGGCTATTTCAGGGTTTTTGGGCAATTTTGGGGTTTTTTGGGGGGATTTTGGGCTGATTTTGGGGGTTTTGGGGATTTTTTGGGCGATTTTGGAGTTCTGGGGGTGATTTTGGGGTGATTTTGGGGGATTTTGGGGTTTTTACCTGGTCCCAGCAGCTCGGCGCTCTCCGAGTCCGAGGCGGCGTCGGCGTCGTCCCTGCGGGGGAAAAAAGGGAAAAATTGGGAAAAAAATCGGGAAAAATGGGAAAAAACAGGAGAAAAGGGGGGGAAATGGGAAAAAATGGGAAAAATGGGGGGAAAAGGGGAAAAACCTGGGGAAAAATGGGGAAAATTGGGAGAAAATGGGGAAAATTGGGGGAGGAAATAGGGAAAATTGGGAGAAAAGGGGAGAAAATGGGGAAAATTGGGGGAAAACACGGGGAAAATGGGAAAAAATGGGAGAAAATGGGGAAAATTGGGAGAAAAGGGGAGAAAATGGGAAAAATTAGGGGAAAACACGGGGAAAATGGGAAAAAATGGGAGAAAATGGGGAAAATTGGGAGAAAAGGGGAGAAAATGGGGAAAATTGGGGGAAAACACGGGGAAAATGGGAAAAAATGGGAGAAAATAGTGAAGAGAGGGGAAAACAGGAAAAAATTCCAGGAAAAATGGGAAAATGTGGGGAAAAGGGAGAAAATGGGGAAAATTGGGGGAGAAAATGGGGAAAATTGGGAGAAAAGGGGAGAAAATGGGGAAAATTGGGGGAAAACATGGGGAAAATGGGAAAAAATGGTGAAAAGAGGGGAAAACAGGAAAAAATTCCAGGAAAAATGGGAAAACGTGGGGAAAAGGGGAGAAAATTGGGAAAATTGGGGGAGAAAATTGGGAGAAAAAGGGAGAAAATGGGGAAAATTGGGGAAAAACAGGGAAAAAAGGGGGAAAAAGGGTAGAAAATGGGAGAAACGGGGAAAAAAAGAAAAACTGGAAAAAAGGGAAGAAATGGGAAAACAAGGCAGGAAAAAAGGGGGAAATGAGGAGGAAAAAAGTAAAAAAATTTAGGAAAAAAAGGGAAAAAGGTGGAAAAAAAAATTAAAATTGGGGGAAAAGAGAAAAAAAGGGAAAAAGAAGAAAAAAAAGGAAAAAAAAAGGAAAAAAAAGGAAAAAAAAGGAAAAAAAAGGAGAATCGAAGGGGAAAATTGGAAAATAAAGGGGAAAAGGGGGGAGGGGTTTCGAGGGGTGGGGGAGGGGTTTTAAGGGGTGGGGGAGGGGCTCACGGGGGGCTCGGGCGCGGCTCCGGCAGCAGCTCCAGCCCCGAGGCCGCCTGGGGAGGGGGAAAAGGGGTCAGGGAGCCCCAAAAATCCCCAAAAAACACCCAAAAAGCAGCCCCAAAAACCACCCGAATACTCAAAAAAAAAACCAGCCCAAAAAAACCCCAAAAAACAGCCCGAAAACCCCAAAATCCAGCCCAAAAACCCCAAAAAACAGCCCAAAAAAACCCCAAAACCAGCCCAGAAAAACCACCCAAATACTCAAAATAAACCAGCCCAAAACCCCAAAAATCCAGCCCAAAAACCCCCCCAAAAACGGCCCAAAAAAACCCCCAAATACTCAAAAAAAACCAGCCCAAAAAAACCCCGAAAATCCAGCCCAAAAACCCCTAAAAACAGCAAAAAAAACCCCAAAAACCAGCCCAAAACCCCAAAAATCCAGCCCAAAAACCCCCCCAAAAACGGCCCAAAAAAAACCCCAAATACAAAAAAAAAGCAGCCCAAAAAAACCCCAAAAATCCAGCCCAAAAACCCCAAATACTAAAAAAAAAGCCCCCAAAACCAGCCCAAATTAACCCCCAAAAAACCCCAAAATCAGCCCAAAAAACCCCCTCAAATACTCAAAAAAACCAGCCCAAAAAACCCCAAAAACCAGCCCAAAAAACCCCCAAAACCAGCCCAAAAAAACCCCCAAATACTAAAAAAAAAACAACCCAAAAAAACCCCAAAAAAGTCCAAAAAACCCCCAAAATCCAGCCCAAAAAACCCCAAAAAACAGCCCAAAAAAACCCCAAAAAAGTCCAAAAAAACCCCAAAATCCAGCCCAAAAAACCCCCCAAAATCTGAGTTTTTCCCCCCAATTTTCCCTAAAATCTGCATTTTTCCCCCCAACTTTTCCCAGAATCTGCATTTTCCCACCCAATTTTCCCAAAATCGCATTTTCCCACCCAATTTTCCCAAAATCGCATTTTTCTCCCAATTTCCCCAAAATCCACATTTCCCCCCCAATTTTCCCATTTTCCCCAAAATCCGCATTTCCCCCCCCAGTTTTCTCAATTTTCCCAAAATCTGCGTTTTCCCCCCAAATTTTCCCTAAAATCTGCATTTTTTTCCCCCCAATTTTCCCAAAATCCGCATGTTTTCCCCAATTTCCCCAAAATCCGCATTTCCCCCCCAATTTTCCCAAAATTCGCATTTTCCCCAATTTTCTCATTTTCCCCAAAATCCACATTTTCCCCCCATTTTTCCCAAAATTCGCATTTTCCCCAATTTTCTCATTTTCCCCAAAATCCACATTTTCCCTCCATTTTTCCCAAAATTCGCATTTTTTCCCCAATTTTCTCATTTTTCCCAAAATCCACATTTTCCCATTTTTCCCAAAATCTGCATTTTTCCCCCCAATTTTCTCAATTTCCCCAAAATCCCCATTTCCCCCCCCAATTTCCCCAAAATCCGCATTTTTTTCCCATTTTTTTCCCAAAATCCCCACTTTCCCCCCCAATTTTCCCAAAATCCGCCTTTTTCGCCCCAAACCCACCTGGGGGGGAGGGGCGCGCCCCGGGGGCTCCTTTTGGGGCGAATTCCGGCGATTTTGGGTCAAATCCCGAAGGGTTTGGGGCGAGTCCCGCGGGTTCGGCTCCGAGTCCGGGGGGGAGTTTTGGGGCGAATTTTGGGGATTTTGGGGCAGATTTTGGGGCGGATTTTGGGGATTTTGGGGCGGATTTTGGGGGTTTTGGGGCTGCGGGAAGTTTTGGGGTGAATTCCGGCGTTTTTGGGTCTCCCCGGGGCGCCACTGGAGCATCCCACGGACGCTGCGCCCCACGGAGCGCAGCGAGAAGCGGCGGCGCGGCCGCGCTTTTGGGGCAAAATCCGACGATTTTGGGGCAAAATCCGACGATTTCGGCACTGCCGCTTTTGGGGCAAAATCCGACGATTTTGGGGCCGATTTTGGGGCAAAATCCGACGATTTTGGGGCCGTTGCTTTTGGGGCAAAATCCGACGATTTTGGGACAAAATCCACCAATTTCGGGGCAAAATCCGACGATTTTGGGGCCGCTTTTGGGGCAAAATCCGACGATTTTGGGACAAAATCCGACGATTTCGGGGCCGTCGCTTTTGGGGCAAAATCCAACGATTTTGGGGCCGTTGCTTTTGGGGCAAAATCCGACGATTTTGGGACAAAATCCGCCAATTTCGGGGCAAAATCCAACGATTTTGGGGCCGCCGCTTTTGGGGCAAAATCTGCTGATTTTGGGACAAAATCCGCCGATTTCGGCACTGCCGCTTTTGGGGCAAAATCCAACGATTTTGGGGCCGCCGCTTTTGGGGCAAAATCCGCCGATTTCGGGGCTGATTTTGGGGCAAAATCCGATGATTTCGGGGCCGATTTTGGGGCATTCTGGGGCAGGGTCGGGCTGGGGGCGGGGCTCGGAGATTTTGGGGTGAATTCCGGCGATTTTGGGGCGATTTCCGCCGGTTTTGGGCCGTTTTCAGCCCATTTTGGGGCGATTTCTGCCCATTTCGGGTCAGCCTCGACCGATTTTGGGTCAATTTCTGCCGATTTTGGGCACATTTTGGTCCATTTCGGATCGATTTCCGACAATTTTGGGCCGATTTCAGCCAAATTTCTGCCAATTTCCGCCGATTTTGGGCCAATTTCCACCAATTTTGGGCAAATCGCTGTTTTTGGGCTGATTTCCATCGATTTCGGCCCAATCTCATCCCATTTTGGGCCAATTCCAGCCAATTTTGGGCCATTTTCAGTCAACTTTGGTCCGATTGCTGCCGATTTCGGGCCAATTTCAGCAATTTTTGGGCAAATTGCCGATTTTGGGCCGATTTCAGTGAATCTTGGGCCAATTTCAGTGAATTTTGGGCAAATCACTGATTTTGAGCCGATTTCTGCTGATTTTGGGCTGATTTCAGTGGATTTTGGGCCAATTTCAGTGAACTTTGGGCAAATTGCCGATTTTGGGCTGACTTCTGCCGATTTTGGGCCAATTTCTGTCGATTTTGGGCAAATTGCTCTTTTCGTGCTGCTCTCCGCCGATTTCGGGCCAATTTCTGCTGATTTTGGGTGGATTTCAGTGAATTTTGGGCTGATTCCAGCCGATTTTGGGCAAATTGCTGTTTTCATGCCGATCTCCGCTGATTTCGGGCCGATCTCTGCCAATTTCGGGCTGATTTCAGTGAATTTTGTGCCGATCTCTGCCGATTTTGGGCTGATTTCTGCCGATTTCGTGCCGATTCCAGCCGATTTTGGGCCGATTTCAGTGAATTTCGGGCCGATTTCCGCCGGTTTCGTGCCGATTTCAGTGAATTTTGGGCCGATTTCTGCCGATTTTGGGCTGATTCCAGTGAATTTTGTGCCGATTCCAGCTGATTTCGTGCCGATTTCAGTGAATTTTGGGCCGATTTCTGCCGATTTCGTGCCGATTTCAGTGAATTTCGGGCCGATCTCCACCGATTTCGTGCCGGTTCCAGCCGATTTCGTGCCGATTTCAGTGAATTTTGGGCCGATTCCAGCCGATTTCGTGCCGATTTCTGATGATTTTGTGCCGATTTCCGTGAATTTCGTGCCGATTCCAGCTGATTTTGGGCTGATTTCTGCCGATTTCGTGCTGACTCCAGCTGATTTCGTGCCGATTTCAGTGAATTTCGTGCCGATCTCCACCGATTTCGTGCCGATTCCAGCCGATTTCGTGCCGATTTCAGTGAATTTCGTGCCGATTCCAGCCGATTTCGTGCCGATTCCAGCCGATTTCGTGCCAATTTCAGTGAATTTCGTGCCGATCTCCGCCGATTTCGTGCCGATTCCAGCCGATTTTGGGCCGATCTCTGCCGATTTTGGGCCGATCTCTGCCGATTTTGGGCTGATTTCAGTGAATTTCGTGCCGATCTCCACCGATTTCGTGCCGATTCCAGCCGCTTCGCCGCCGCCGCTTTCCGGGGCGAGTCGCGGCGATTCCGGCGCCGCCGCCCGCGCCACCTCGGCGCGGAAATGTTCCAGAAAGTTCCGGGCGAAGCGGCGCGCCAGCGCGGCCGCCCCGCGGGGCCCGGCCAGCTCCGGCCGCGCCGCCGCCAGCGCCCGGTAGCGGCGCGCGAAGTCGCGGGCGGCGGCGCCGGCCTGGCCCCGGCAGAACTCGCGCCAGCCCGGCGGGGCGCCGGCTTCGGGGGGAGCCGGGGGGGTTTGGGGGAAATTTGGGGGGATTTCGGCAAAATCCGGGGAGTTTTGGGCAAAATTTGGGGAGTTTTGGGCAAAATCCGGGGAGTTTTGGGCAAAATTTGGGGAGTTTTGGGTGAAATTTGGGGGGATTTGGGCGAAATCTGGGGGGGTTTGGGTGAAATTTGGAGGGATTTGGGTGAAATTTGGGGAGATTTGGGTGAAATTTAGGGAGTTTTGGGTGAAATTTGGGGGGATTTCGGCAAAATTTGGGGAGTTTTGGGTGAAATCCGGGGAGTTTTGGGTGAAATTTGGGGGGGTTTGGGCGAAATCCGGGGAGTTTTGGGTGAAATTTGGGGAGTTTTGGGTGAAATTTGGGGGGATTTCGGCAAAATTTGGGGAGTTTTGGGTGAAATTTGGGGGGGTTTGGGCGAAATTTGGGGGGGTTTGGGCAAAATCCGGGGAGTTTTGGGCAAAAT